AGATAACAGGATAGCTATTCAAAGCCCTAGTCCTCTTCTGGACTAGGGTCTCCAGGGGACCTGTGTCTCAGGAAGCCCAGGCCGGCAGCAGCCTCAGCACAGTCTTGCCCCAGCCTAGAGTCCACGCTGACGGTTCCTCTGAGCTACGCTGCAGTGTGCACTGAGCCCTCCAGGTCTGAGTGCCCCAGGCTCATCTCCTCAGATGGAGATCTCCTCAGAGAAACAGCGGCTTCCTCCTGAACACAGGTGCAGAGAGAACAGAGCAGGGCACGAGCAGCGCTAAGCAGGAAGGCAGGCCCCAGACCAGACAGGCTCTACTCGCTAACCCAGGCTAGAGCCACACGCCCTTCGCTGACACAATTTTCTTGGGGTCAAGCAAGGCAGAACAGTTACACCTCAGCTCAGTCATAAAGTAACAATGGTGGAGAGGGCACGGGCTAGCTCCCTGCCACTGCCCGAAGAGGACTGACACAAGATCCTAGTCCTAGGCACGGTGCGACTATGTAGTGATAATGACCCTGGAAGCCAAGGGCACTAGCTCCACATGGTCTTTGATGCCCTTTGAATCCTGTTATCAGTCACATGGGTGGCACTCAGGAATACGCGGTGCTCCCATCGGCCACCTTTCCCTGCTGACATAAGAGAATGTTATCTCACAAGTGGCAGCAGATTAGCACGTCAGGCAAGCTGAGCCCAGGACCCCAAAGGGACACAATTATCAGAGGTCCCTAGCACAGCCAGGGCAGCTTGACCACTTTGGTCTCTGACAGTGTAATGAAATCTAGGTTGAGTTTTCTGTAAATGAGAAACCTGGGGGAAAGGGTAAAAAGTTAGGAGGGGCCCAGAGAATGAGAATAGACCCAAGCGAACTGGCAACGCCCAAGCACAAGCAACCTCCTCAGGGATGCTGTTCTCCGGTATCAACTACAGGCTGCAACAAGGCCGTCACTGGTGCACACCTGTCTTTCTGAGAGGGAGGGACCTGCTCTCCACCTGGGAATGTGCTCTCCTGTTCTGATTTCCTCTGTGCACAAGGAGGGGACAGTCTCTGAGAAGGGTCCTTCCTCATCCCACAAGCCCGGAGCCCACACTCAGCACCTCTAACAGAGCCCACATGATCATCTTACTGACCACCATGAACTACTCACCCCCAAATCCTAACTGGGTAACATTTAAATGGGGGGACTTCTGGGATTATGGTTTAGGAAAATGGGTTGATCTTGGCATTTCACTGCAAAAGCCACCTTCAATCAGAGGGAGCCTTCTGCAAATAGAAAAGAACGTGGTTGCAGGGAGCATAGGAAGCCCACAGGACTAGTATGCCATGACACCTATGTGAGTGTGTCCTGTCAGAGAATCCTCTACAGCCCCAATCAAAATGCTGCTGGGGGTGTGGTGTGGCTCAGTGGTAAGAGCACTGGACCACCATGCTGGCAGCTCTGGGTTCCATCTCCAACACAGGAAAATAAGAAAAACCACACTCTCAAAGTGTCACTCTGGTGGTTTTCCCACAGACAACAACCAAGTTTAAATCCTGCCATGTCTCTCTCGTAACAGGAAAGCAAAAGGAAAGGACATTCGTTTGTAGCCCCAGTGACAGGCTGCGGACCCCAGGGCATGGAGTCCAAGCTGCTCTCTCCTGGGAAGCACTGCAGGCACACTCAGGAGGGCAGCCGAACCACGCTGTACCACGCTGCGTACCGGCTGCTTCTGAGTAAGAGCCACAAGAACCTCAAACCCTTTCTATCCCATCCCTTCCTCCAAGCCTGAAGGCCTCACCAGCAGCAGCATTCTGGCAAGATAAGCCTTTGAGGGCGAGCTATTGTCCCTTATCTGAGGCTGTGTTCTCACCACACAGCTACCCTGCTGGAGTCTGGCTCAGCCAAAAGATAAGTCTTTGGGCCTCAAACAATGGCCAGCGCACCTCGGCCCAGTACAGGCTAGAATGGACTATTGCATTCCTTTCTTATTTAAGAGAAACTTGCTTGGATTTTCCAGCTTTGCTCTGGCTTTGGTAAGAGTTACTCCCGGTTACTCTTATAAGCCTACAAGAAACACAAGAACCCCAAACCTTTCTCCTCCAACACTTCAGTTCTGAAGGTCCCTGAGCAATGGCATTCTAGCAAGTTTGTGCCAAGCATGGCAGTCCACACCTTTAACCCTAGCACTTGGGAAAAAGGGGCAGGTGGATCTCTGTGAGTTGAGAACAGCCTGGTCTACATAGTGAGTTCCAGGACAGCCAGGGCTACAGAGTGAGACTCTTGTCTCAAAAGACAAAAAAACCAAAGCGAAACAAAACAATAACAACAACAAAAAAGAAACAAAAAGAAAGAAAGAAAAGTGGAATGCTCACCTAGCTTCTTCTTTTCTTTTTGCTTTGGTGATGAGAACTGAACCTGTGGCCTCATGCATTCTAGTCAAAAGCTCTACCACTGAACTATATTTTCAGTCTTCCTTACTTTTCTCTGTGTGTATGTACATGTCAACGAGTGTGTACATGTGTGTGGGCCAGAAGTCAATGTCAGGTGTCTTCCTTTGTCAACTTTCCACCTTATTTTTTATAGTAGGGTCTCTACTAGAAGCTGAACTACCTTAACTAGATTAGCTGGCCAGTGAGCCCCAGGGATCCTATGTGTGCCCTCTAGCACTGGGAGGACGAGAGTATGTACAGCCACGGCCAGCTTTACAGGCACACCCTTGTGTGGCAGGCGCTTTACCAACCGAGCCCTCTCCCCAACCACTCTTACACGGGAACAAGATCTCGCTGACTTGTCCTGAGCTCCCTCTGTAGCCCAGACAGGCCCTAAGCCTGTGGTGCTGTGGTGTTTTTCCTCCTGAGCAGCTGGGGCTCAAAAGCTTGCACCACCTGCTTAGTAAGTATTCTCTCTCTCTCTCTCTCTCTCTTTTTTGCCTTCTCGAGACAGGGTTTCTCTGTGTAGCCCTGGCTGTCTTGGACTTGCTTTATAGACCAGGCTGTCAGTAGGTATTCCCTTAGTCACGGGTTGTAACAGCTGGAAAAAGAAATGCAGCCCCTGCTGTTTTTCAAATGGTCCCAAAATTCGTTTCCTTGAAGTTCCAGGAGTCACTTTCCTGAAGAATGGGTGAGCCTGTGTCAGGCATGAGGCCCACTTGTAATCCTGCCATTTGGGATGCTGAGACAGATGGATCAAGAGCTGGAGGTCAGCCTGAGCTACATGAGACCATGTCAAAAAAAAAAAAAAAAAAAAGGGGCTGATCTGGCAGCTTCTACCCCGATTAGAGACAGCCAGCTTACAGCACTGTAGTCTGATGCAATACCATGCTGGGGGTGGGGGAGGGGAAACAACTGTAGAAGAGAAGAGAGGGCCCCACCTAGCACAGCCATGCAGAGACACACTGCTAGCTTCAACATCCCCCACCACAGGGCAAGGGCCAACGGAAAGACTAAGTTAATGAAAAACAAACCTAAACTGGTGCCTGTAGCGTTTGAGGATGGCTGTAACCCTGGCTCAGCCTCACACACGCTGGAATCAGAGCTGCTACACCAAGCTCTGAGAGTTCCCCTTTTCTTTCTTTCAGACTTACATTACACCTGTGAACGTGTGTGAGTGCCTCAGCATGCATAGGCATGTCAGAACTTAATGCGTATTGGTTCACATCTTCCATGACATGGGTTCCAGGGATCCAATTGACCTTTACACACTGGGCCGTTTTCACTGTTTCCTCCTTTTTTCTCTTTCTCCAGCAATGCCCCTAAACACATACCTTGGCTTTTTTTTCTTTTTTTTTCCAGTACTGGGGACTGAACCCAGGGCCCTGTGCATTCTAGGTCAGTGCTGTGCTATACTGAGCTACATCTCCAGTGAGGCAATTTCATTTTCTCCTTTGCAGTGGCTAACTCCACTTCCGCCCAAGCCCTCAATCTCCTAGAAGGTATTCCAACCAATGGCTGGTGCCCATCCCTCTACCAAAGGGCCACGGATGAAACAAAGGCAGGTTCATCCTGAACCAGCACCTCAAAGCAATGTGACAAACATAGGGAAAGACCCCCTAGCCTCTGGGATCAGTGCTGGAAAACACCCTGGGGGTCTGTTTTCTTGAGGCTCCAGCCCTCTTTGAGATGGAGGTCTGTCTTTGTTTTTGAGATAGGGTTTCATGTAATGTAGGCCAGCCTCAGACTTGCCGTGTGACTGGGAATGGCACTTCATGAAGTACTGATCCTCTTGTTTCTCCTTCAGCTCCAGGGATAAAATTATAGGCATGTGCCACCACACTCAGCTCACTCTGTCCCGGGGACTGAACCCACGGCCTCTGCATGCCAGGTCAGTGTGACCAACTGAGCTACAGCCCCAGCCCCTTTCAACTACTTCTGCAAAGCTATACTTTATGCTTATGGAAATAAGAGTTCTAGCTCATTGAATTAAAAAATAAAACAAAACAGCTTTAAAAGCAAAAGGCTGGGTGTGGTGGTGCACACCTGCTATCCCAGCAGCACTCAGCACTCAGCACTCAGCACTCAGGCAGAGGCAGGCAGATCTCTGAGTTCAAGGTCAGCCTGAAGAGCCAGAGCTATACAGAGAAAGCCTGTCTTAACACCCTGTCTTAACCCCCGACCCCAAAAGAAGAGTAGATCTAGGGGAGTGAGAAGATGAGGGAAGGGACTGGGAGGAGAGGAGAGAAGGGAAACTGTGGCCGGGATATTCTAGATGAGAGAACTGAAAACAAGCAACATGGCAAAGGCTGACCAGAGTTGAAACAACTGGACTGCTCAGGGCACTGGAGCCTAGCAGCAAAGCCCAAAGCCGAGGCCTCATGGGTTCAAAAGCAGCTGACCATCCAGCATGGATGACTGACTGTCATCTCAGCTGGGCTATGCTGGTCACCTGAGCACAGGGAGGCAGCTGTGGCCCCTCAGGCCCCCATGTATGTAGATGAGCTAAGAAGTCTGTCGCCTGAACAGACGTTTTTAAAGCCGGGAGGGCAGCACGGGGCGTGGCTCTCCAGCAGAGCCCTGTGGTTACCTCGGCTGATGCGCTGCTTCTCTCCGGACAGGATCCCGGGGGTGTCGATGATGCTGATGCTGTCTAAGACCGGGTTGGGCAGCTGTGCACACATGAACCTGCAGGACGGCAAAGCCACGGATACTCAGGAGGGGCTGACACTATCCAGTATCATGGGAAGGCTTTTCACCCTCCCCCTCCTCAGGACAAACTAACTGGAATGCCAGCACAAAGGTCCAACTTTAGAACTGCAGTACTTTTGTCCTTGTCACTCTCTTCCCCCTAGAGTTCATGAGCTCGGCTTCCCAGTTGCTGGCTTATTAGTGAAAGTTGTATGATCCCAGATCATGCTTCAGTTCTAAAGGGAAACAGAAGCGTGACACTGAGACCTTGCAATTCCACCTTAAAATTTTCACCCAGGTATGGTGGTACACTTAGGAATCCCAGCACTAAGGAAGCAGAGGCAGGAGGATTTTTAAGTTCCAGGCCAGCATGGTCTACCCATGAAGACTGTTTCAGAAAAAAACCTAAACCAAAACAAATAAAAAAAAATTGGGTCAAGGATATGGCTCAGTGGTTAGAAACACTTGCCACCAAGCCTGAAAATCTTAGCTCAATCTTCAGTGCCTACACAATAGGAGGAAAAAGCTGGCCCGTACTGTCCACTGACCTTGAACACAGTGACATACAATGCTCACACAGAATAAATGTAAAAAAGTAATAAGCTGGCTATGGTGGTGTAGACCTTTAATCCTAGCACTCAGGAGGCAGAGGCAGGCAAGCTCTGTAGTAAGCCAGCCTGGTCTATATAGTAGGATGGGGCTATATAGAGAGAGCCTCAAAAAAACAAAACAACAAAAAAGAAACCCCAGTCACCTGGCTGAATTCCCCACCCACTAAAAGAGGAATGGTCTCTTTCCTATTGGTGTATGTGTGTACATGTGTACTCATGTCCATATGTGTATATCTGTGTGTATGTGCAGGGGTACACACCGAGGTTAGAGCGACCGCAAGTGTCTTCCTTTATCGCTCTCTACCTTACTAAGACAGATTCTCCCAGATTCAGCTAGGCTATCTGGCCAGCGGGCCCCTAGGATGCACCTTGGTCTCTTCTACCCTAATCCTAACCCCTGTGCTGGGGCTGCAGGCCTGCAAACCAATCGTGTATCTGGTATTTACAGGGGTGCTGGAGCCCTGAGCTCAGGTGCTCACCTTACCCACTGAGCCATCCCGCAGCCCCTGGGACGGTCATTTCCTCCTGCTGTGGGGGCAGGCTGCTTGAAGAGACTGCAATGGGCCACCAGTGCTCAGTGATGTGGAAGGAGTGCAGGCACACATTCTCTGACAGTCAAAACCAGCCTAAGGAAGAGGAACCCACCACAATGGAGGAGAGCCTCAGGGAGGGCCTAGCTATGTACTGGAGCTTTATGCTAGGCTAAGAGCTCACCTAACAGCCCAGAGCAAAGATCAGCTGTTGCAAAGCGTGGTTCTTTAGTGGATAGAGAAAAGGCTCCTTCGAAAACCTCTCTGAGCAGCCAGGCATGGTGGTGCATGCCTGTGATCCCAGCACTCACAGAGGCAGAGGTAGGCAGATCTCTGTGAGTTTGAGGCCAGCCTGGTCTACAAAAGTGAGTCCAGGACAGCCAAGGCTGCACAGAGAAACCCTGTCTTGAAAAACCAAAATAAATAAATACAGATAAAAACCTCTCTGAGCAAAGAAAATACAGACCCATTGTCTGCCAGACACAGGCTCAAAGCTGCGCTTCTAACAGTAGGGAACACGCAGCGAAATGAATGTCTCCTGTGGGCCCACACCCCCAAATGATGTCAGTGTCCCCACAGATTGGGGACAGCAGGCCAAAGCGGAAGTTACCGTCTCTAAGTGTAGCAGACCCCAGTGCTCTACTGCTCACCAGACCTGGATCCCCCTTGCTTGGGAAGAAACTCCTTGACTTATGGACAGAGAGTGACAGGAAAAAAAAAAAAAAAAAAAAAAAAAGGAGTGAAAGTGTAGCTGTAAAAGTAACATACATAAGAAGGTCCCATAGAGGAGCATCTGTAGGTCCAAGAGAAGCAGTTACTCTGCAAGGCCAAGGAAGTGAGCAAGAAAGGCGGGGGACACCAAAGACACCTTTCTGGCAACAAGGATGAAGACTTCAGTTCTTAGGACTAGTGGGTGGGCCCAGTTATGCAAGGAAGAATGTTCACAAACCACTCATTCCTTCATGCTTGTCTCCATCTGTTCCTCTCACTATCTCTGAACAGCACTCTGGGAAAAAAAGGCTAGCAAGTCAAGTTCATGACTCAATGGGTCCCTTTAAGAATGCCAGGAAAAGCTGTATCAGCCAGAGAAAAGCCCCCTTTGTTGTGCCCTCCCTGGCCAGAGGCGCCGTGGTCTGCACATCCTGACACAGCTCCGGCCTTAAACTACACCACCATTTAGAGACCCTCTGAAATTGGGTGGTGACAAGAAGGTTGTAAATATAGTTCTTGGGCGCCCTGGACCCCATGCCATCAAAGTGCCTGTCTCTGCCCACGGGCTCCTGAGTTCTTCCTTTTTTGGGGAGGGCACAAACACAAAGAACAGTCAATCCGCATGGTCTTAACCTTGACCATTTCGTGGGGGCCTGGGTTTCAGGAGTCATTGAGCTGGGGGCTACTGGCATGGTGTGTAAGAGTCTTTCAGCTCTAAAGCTCTGAATTTCTGCAGGTGGGGAACTGAGCGGGTGCCACGTTCCTTGTTTCCAAAGAGGTCTGCCCTCACAACGAGGTGAAGACATAGGACTGCAGCGGTCGGAACAGCAAGTCTTCTTGTCACTCCTGAAGCGGAGACCTAAAGCATGAATGAACTCCTGAGCCCAGCAGCCAAACTTCTCACAAGACCAAGGGCTCCTACCAACTGCAGTATGAGCCAATGGCCTACCTACAGGAGCAGCAAAGCTCAAACATCCTCAGGGAGAGGCTCCAGGCTAAGGAGACCAGAGCACTGTACTCAACCCAGGCCTGTCAAGCAAACACCATCATCATAAAACAAGACAGGCTGAAACTGCCTGGAAGGGACAAGAAGACATTAAAGGTCAGGCAGGCCTGGCAGCCAGCTTGCTCAAGAACAAGCTGGCCCGCCCTATACGGCTGGACAGTGTCTGTAGAGGAATGTGCTCATACAGGGCGGAGACCTGGAAAGCAGGATTCAGATTCTTTCCTAGGCTGTTCCCCAAGGCTGAATGCAAACGTCAAAAGCATGTACACTCACTCCTTGAAAGAAGCAGCGGAGAGGGCAGGGTCTATGAGTCCTGTCATGCCTCCTGGAGGCTGGGCTGCCTCTAGAGAAGTGATCCTGGGTGTTAACACTCCTCAGACAGGCCACTGTGATTCGTTCATAGCATCCTAAGGACTGAATCTCACCTCACCCCGTAAATGGTGAACCTGAGACTCAACGACGTGCATAAACATCTATCCACTCTGTCGAAGACTCTGGGTCTGGTCACTTCAGGGGTCTCAGTGTTACCAACCTTGAAGTCTCTTGAGGCAGCACTGACTTATTAAAAAGTTTTTTTGTTTGTTTGAGACAAGGTCATCTTGGCTGGCCTGGAATTCACTCAAGCGCTGCTTTTAGGGAGGGTGTTGAGACTCCATCCCCTGCCTTCAATGGGGGCTGCCCTCAAATCAGCAGGCAGCACTTCCTCCCTGACCCTCCTACACAAAACCACTGGTCCCTGGGGATGTGAACCAGAGAGTGGGGCAAACCATCCAAGTCTTGGGTTTTCCCACGACATTTGAAACACAGACCCCGGGGGAGAAGGAGGGAGGTTGATGGGAATGAAGTGGGTGCGTCCAGAATGAGGAATAAGAAAGGGACAGCAATGGCTCATCTTCCCAGGGCGGCCCCTGGCGCTGTGGGAAGCAGGTCTGGGGTCTGCGGGAAGGTTTGAGAGTTAGATTTATAACCTGAAAGATTCTGGGGATTACAGAAGCCAGAGGAGTGGACGATGCTCACTCCCGGACTCCCGGATAGTGAATGGGACACAACAAGGCCACTGTCCCTGGGAGTGGTCGCCTAGGGTCTGGTGGGGCACCTCGGAGACAAAGGCCGGCGGGGGGCAATGGCTGCGGGGACCCGCGGAGGTCCTCGCGCCCGGGGACAAGGGGTGGGTACCTGTTGAGGAAGGCGTTGCCGAAGGCGTTGAGCTTGCGGAAGGGGCGCCGCGGGTCCACGACGAGCGCGTTGCCCGGCACCACGCCCTCGGTGGGGCCGTGCATGACCGCGATGAAGGAGTCGGTGGTGGGCTCCGGGCCGATGCGCATCCCCGGGAAGTCCTGCTCGATCAGGTGGCGGATGAAGGTGGTCTTGCCGGTGCTGTACTGACCAACCAGGAGCACCATGGGCTTGTTGTCGAAGTCAGCGTCCTCCAGCGCGGGCGAGTGGAACTCGTGGAAGCGATAGTGCTCCTCCAGCGGCAGCAGCTTCTGCGCGTACAGCTGCCGCAGCCCCTGGGCCACCGTCTGGAAGAGCTCCGGCTCCTTCTTGCGGCGGGCATCCTTGCTCACCCAGCTGAACATGCTGCCGGAGACCGAGCTGGCTGCTACGGGACGGAGCGGCGGCTGAGCGGGACGAGGGCGCGCGGCCGAGGAGGGGCCCGCCGGCCGGCGGAGGGCAGCGGGGCAGGGGGCGGGGCGCGGCCCGCACTGCGCAGGCGCAGGCTCGAAGATGGACGCGAGGCTCACGGGAGCGCCCTCTGCTGAGGGTCGCGCGAGCCTCGCCGAGCGGCCCCTTTATAGGCCGGCGCCCCACGTTCCGGCGCGCTGGCCACCGCCTCGGGGCGGGCGGGAGAGGAGGCGGGGGAGGAGCCCTCGGGGCCCCGCCCCGCTCGCGTGCCACGTCCTCCCCTGCTTCCCATTGGCTGATTTCAAATCTCGCGAGCCCGTGGCCGCGGTGCCGTGGCAACCGCAGCTGTTTTGCCCTGTCCCTCGAGGGGTGGCTCGCGGAAGTGCCGCAGTAGTGAGCTCTCGGACGCGCTCTGCCACCACAGTGCTTCCTCCGTCTCGGAGGCCCCGAAAGCGCCGGGAGCCCGGGCGCCGCCTCTTCCTTGCCTCTCTGCCACACACTCCTCACCCTCTGGTCTTTTAGCGGCTCTGGGAAAGGGAGGAATAGGGAAAACGGAGGACACCGGGAAAGGAAAATCGGTAAGGAAGAAGGAGTGCAGTGGGAATCCACTCGGGCAGATGCGACAGGGACACAGCAATGGACACAAATGACATGACCTGGCGAGGGGAAGCCGAGGTCTCCACCGAAGAGGTTTCAGCTGCGGAATGGGGTAACGCAGTTGAGGCTTTCTGGTTAGATGCGTTTTCAGGAAGTGAAATCGGAAATTCCCTTTGTGAGGAAGAGGGGAAATGTTGGGCAACATTGAAATGTTGTGGGAACTTAGGGGGAAATCAAAAACCCAAAAAACTTCCGCTTTCCTGTCAGGGACACCACCAGTACCATCTTTCGTTCCGTTCTGAGTCCCAACTTCCTTACCAGTTCGTGGCTGTTCCACGGGGCTCATGCCCCAGCCATCACCCCTGGCCCCCTTGACTGTCTCTGCTGGTGAGACTTTTCAGTGGGTGATGTCAGAGATTTTGGGGGGGGGAGGACTGTGATTGTTAGGTAACTAGTATCGGGTCACCTAAGCGGAAGGAGGATCTAAGGGCGGCTGGAGAAATCTAAAATGAGCCTGAGGAGGTGGTATTGGTTAACACACCCATGGTCTCAGCTGTTTGGAAAGGTTGGAGGATCACTTGAACCCACCAATATGAGGCCGGCCTGGACAACAGAGGATATCTTAAAAAAAAAAAAAAGACAAAATATTTACTGCTGCTGCTAGACTCAGACTCACAGAGCACTTGCCAGTGGGGCCCATTCCCAGCACCACTTGAACAAACGAAGCCTTGGGAACCTGAACGACTTGGATCCAACTTGATAGCTTTGATAGATTTGGAAGCCTGGGTCTAGACACCTATGTCAGGGAAGACATCAGGCTGGGAGGGGAAAACACAGGAAGCCCAACGGAAGACAGAAAAATGTGTGTAGTGGGGGGGATCTAAGTCAGGTGGGATCCAGAGACGGGAAGGTGGGTTTGCTCATCCACTTTGGACATCATTACCAGAGCAATTGCCAGAGCAAATTCCAACCTGCTCCCAGGCCTGGACCCTGACTTCCTCCTTTGATCTTGAGGATTTTCTTTTTTTATAGGGCGGGTGTGGTGTTATGAATGTGCCATGTTGATGTGTGTGTGTGTGTATAGTACAAGTCAGAAAACTTAAGAGCTCTCTTACCATGAGTGTCCTAGGAGCTGAGCTTTGAGCCACCTCACCAATCCTCATGTTATTAGCATTCTCTTCATCCATCAGGATAAAACAGAAGCCATGGGCCCTTTTTCAGAAAGACACCCTTGGACAGGGGCTTGCCAGCCTCAGCTGTGCGCCAGCTGGTGACCAAGAGCCTCAGGCAAGCCCAGCACAGACTTCCTCAGCCAGCCTTAGAAGCTGAATGGTTTTTGCCTCCTACACAGCCTAGATGAAGAGGTCCACCCCGGAGATGTAATTTCAGGGCTAGTTCAGAGAAGAGCCGGAGGCAGAGGACCCTAAATGAGGTGGTTGTTCAGACATCTGAATGGCTACACAGCTGTCCCCAGCAGCACTCACACTGACCAGCCGTACTTTCCATGTCTCCCCAGAGCCCTGTGGACTGAGAAAACCCAGCCCCAGAAAGCTGAAAACAAAATGTTCCTGGGTTATTTATAAATGAAATGAGACTTTGTGTGTGTTCACTCGACTTTGTCCAAGGAACTGAGCGGCTAGAAGGGTTCCCTACCCTTTCCTCTTTCCCTCCCTCACTAAGACTCAGGGGGCCCAGAAATTAACTCCCTACTTTCCCACGTCCCGGGTGCTTTCCTATCCTGTAATGTCCCAGATTGTGAAACTCCTGGTTTTTAAGTAGGACTCTTTCTGTGTAGAAAGTGAACAAGCAAATTGCACATTCGGTTTCTCTACTGTTTGGTCTTCTGCTGTCTGCCTGGGTCCAGAACAGATGGGCAAGATTCAGATATTTTCCTTACCTCACAAACTCTGCTCACTGCGAGATTTACACACACATACACACACTGATATAAACTAGAAGGACAGGCATTACCCCCTGTCTTTCCACCATGAGCATCCTGGGAACAATCATCAGCACCCGTATAAAAACCCCCAATGCTCTGATAGGAAAGATAGGTGCATCCCTGGGACTCACTGGCTACTGAGCCTAGCTCCAAGTTCAGTGAGAAGACCCTGCCTCAAGGAAATTGTTGCTGATCGTCCCCAGCAACCATCTCCCATTTCCTTGCCTCTTTGGTCACCATTGCCCTGATCTAAGAAATTATTTGTGGGTTGGGCCTGGTGGCACTTGCCTTGAATCCCAGCACTCAGGAGGCAGAGGTGGCAGGTCTAAGTTTGAGGCCAGCCTGGTCTACAAAGTGAGTTCCAGGACAGCCAAAGAAACCCATCTCAAAAAAAAAGTTGTGCATGTGTGTATTATATAGGTGTCTGCACAATATATGCATAGCTACTGCCACTGGAGGACAGGAGTGAGCATCCAATGCCCTGGAACTGGAGTTAAAGCCACTTGTGAACAATCATGTGGATGCTGGGAATCAAACCCAGGTCCTCTTGAGGAGTACCCAGTCCTCAACTGCTGAGCCATCTCTTCCTAGCCAACCATCCCACCTTTTTTGAGACATAGTCTCACTATGTAGTCCTGGCTGGACTGACACTCATTTTGTAGTTGTTTGGCCCCAACTCGGACATCAGCCTATCTCTGCTTGCTTCCTGAGTGCTGAGATTAAAGGTGTACATCATATCAGGCTTCCTAAAGACAAAACATTAATTTAAAAAAAAAGTGGGCAAACTTTTCTCCAAATATGGCAAAAGAATTGGACTGGGAAAAGCCCAAAACATAGGTTTCTCCCTGGCTGAACAGTGGCTCATTCTTTCCACTTAGGAAGTCTGTTCATAAGCACGGACTTTTGCTCCCTCAGTTGAGCAGATTTGGCAGAGGACCAGTTCTATTAAAAAGTAAACAAGACTGGAGAAACGGCTTAGTAGCTAAGAGTACTTGCTATACAAATATGAGGCTCTAAGTTCAAATCCGCAGCACCCATATTTAAAAAAAAAACAGTGCTGTGATAGGAAAGACAGGTGATCCCTGGAACTACTGAGCCTAGCTCCGAGTTCAGTGAGAAGACCCTGCCTCAAGGGAATAAGATGGAGAGTAGGACACCCAACATTCTCTTCTGGCCTCTCACAAAGGGCTCGTGTGCACCATAAACATTTAAAACCACAGATCCTGGTGAGGTTGCACCTACCTTTAATCCCAGGCAGAGGCAGGTGGATTTCTATGAGTTCGGAGCCAGCCTGGTCTGCGCAGTGTTGGAGGCCAGCCAGAATTACACAGTGAGGCTGGTCTCTATCAAAAAAAGGGTGGGTGGGGTCTGTTCTTCCTCCACATGATGGCTTTTCCAGTGCTGGCTGGAATCTTGGCTGTTCTCAAGTACTAGTAAGGAAAAAGTCTGAGGACCCAGAGGGTCAGGTGACTTGCCTGAAGAGACACAGGCCCTGAGGAGAAATTAGAGCTTTGGGATCTGCACTCTGTACACCCATCCCACCTGCGAGGTGGGGCAGGTGGAAAAGCAGAGAAGGGTTTAGAGGCTCTTCAGAAAGTGCTGGCTGGGGGGACTCTTCCAGGTGGTGTCTGTGCTGGACAATGTGCACGTGCAACCAGCTACACAGCGCTTTGCAGAGCCGAGGGCTACTCCCCTCTGAACCCTTTTAGTCAAGCCATTGCTCAGGCTGCAGGTAGCTCTGTTAGTGGAGTGCTGGCCTCATAAAGCACTGTTCCATGTACCTCAGTGCATTATAAACCAGGCATGATGATGGACTTGGGAGGTGGAGGCAGGAGGGTCAGAAATTCAGGGTCAGCCAGCCGCATGGTGCATGCCTGCACTCAAGGAGGCAGAGACAGTTGGATCTCTGTGAGTTCAAAGCCAGCCTGGTCTACAAAGCCAGTCCAGAACATCCAAGGCCTCACAGGGAAACCCTGTTTTGAAAAACCAAAAAAAAAAAAAAAAAAAAGAAACAATGTCAACTAAAACCCAGTTTACTGGTTCCAAACATTAGGCTAAAACAGGAGCAGGTGCAGGGTGCAGTATTTATTATCCTAAGGACACAGGGGCCTGCAGGACTCCCAGGAAGGCCTTTATTATTTGAAACAGGAACATTCTACCTTCTACAATAGAGCAGGAACAGGATCCTGGGGATCCTCTTAATTTATATAATGAGATGGAGGCTGTAGGGGCTGTGATGGTCCACACTATGGTCCCAGCCTACAGGAGGCTAAGACAGGAAGAGTATTAATTTGAGGCCAGCCTGAACTACGCAGCAAGATTCTGTCTCAAAAAGAAAAATACACAAATGAAATGCAAAGTTGGCTTCCTAGCTTGACTCCAAGTTGCTTAGTCATCTGTGAACCTGACCATTAACTTCCTCATGTACCCTGCAGGCACTTTGAATGGCCTGCGTCTTGAGGGTCTCATGAAGTGACTGTCTGCCCTCCTGCTTCTCCATCAAGGCTTCTCCATTCTGTCTCCTCTGTGGCCAAGGGTTACACTGAGCTTCCTTGTGTGGCTTACAGTCTGGGGACTAGAGAGTAGCTGTGTTCTC